CTGTCCTCAACAAATCACTCGAAGATCGTCAACATTGGCTGCGCCTTGTCTCCCGTGAGAGAGCGATCAACCGTCGCTCTCTAGCCAGGCAACGCCAGATGATCTTCAACCTGGCACGACCTGCCAACCCAACATCGACTCGGCCAACCGGCGCTAGTCCATAAACAGTCAGATGTCTCGGCCATCTCTCTGTCCCTCTATGTTTCACTCTCCCTCTGTCGACCACAGGACTAGGGAACTGCAGTCTGTCACGTAGATGGTTGCCACCTTGTTCTGGAACACTGTGCCATCGGGACGCTCTCCATTCACTTGGATCGATACGCCCAGGGCATTAGGGCGCAAGAACAATTGGCTTCTTACCTGCTACACAATCATGCCCACCATCACCTTCAAAAAACTCAAAAAACAAAATAAAAATACGCCGCCCCGAGTGGCAAGATCGTTTCTACATGTGCAAGGGTGCAATGTAATATCCGATGAGAGCAACTTCCCTGGGATTGGATGCCTCACACTGGTTCAACAGTACTGGACTCACCTCCGTATGGTAAATGGCCATGACAGCCGTTAACGGCAATCTAGAAACTTGAGATAGTTTTAATACGATTAATGCATCAGTTATATATATATATATATATCCACACGGTGGGTTGTCGGAGGTAGACTCGAAGCGGGCTTCTCAAGTGCTGGTGGATTCAAGGCAAGCTCTTCTAGGCGATGAGGTGGCTCTTGGGGGCGCTGTTTGAGGCGTTGGTTCATCAGGTCCGCTCCAGTTTCGGTGACGGCCGAGAAGTATGGTGGCGAATTGACCCAGCCCATAGGGAGGACCAAGGGAAAGGCAATCATGGCTTCTTCGTTGGGGTGTTGCGGGAGTAGGACGGCCAGATGTGGGACGGCATAAGGTGCCAATTGAATGCGGTAGAAACCATCAGCAATGTCAATCTTGGAGATGTAAACAGGCCCGTGTATAGGGTTGGCGTGTAGGATTCGTTGCAGGATGCGGTGAAGGGCACGTCCGAATTGCATGGAATCTGATGGGGCGATTGGGACGGATTCTTGATTGATGCCAAAGAAAGAAAGGTCAACTATCAGTCAGGGCCGTCTGTCCTGTTGTGGAACTACGCCAAGAGGCCTGAGTCGCAAGTTCTGTAGATGCCGCACGAGTCGATAGGGTAGGATGGTCCAGAATTTCTTGTTGAGAAAATCAGTGAACTCTTCTCGGACGAAGGACACTTCATCTTTTGCAGACTTGTGAGGACCTCGGGCGACGGCGTCATCTCGTCGTTGTGTGTTCCAAGGTAGTGTAGACATCGGTATGGGTGCGCCGTGATTTAGGAGGTGTGCAGGTGGATGTGCCAGATGCCTAACATTGGGCGCAATATCTGGAGCTGATCCTCTCTGTGCCGTAGCAAACGTCTCCCAGGAGTTACTTTGCTGAAATTCATGAACGGCCATACAAATCTTCTTACCTAGTTCATCATCGTGGATGCGGA